CTGCTTCAATTTCAGTATTTGATAATTGGCCTGTTCAGGAATTCTATTTCTTCCTGATTGAGCCTAGAGAGGCTGTGTGTTTTTAAGAATTTGTCGATTTCCTCCAGATTTTCAGGTTTATGTGCATAGAGGTTTTTATGGTATTCATAGATGAGATATTGTATTTCATGATATCAGTTGTGATTTCTCCTCTTTCATTCCTGATGGAGCTTATTAGAGTCCTTTCTTTTCTGCTTCTCTTTAGCAAGAGGCATGTCAATTCTGTTTATTTTTTCAAAGAACCAACTTTTTGTTTTATTAATCTTCTATATAGAATTTTTTGTTATTGATTTCTTTTGGTTCTGCTCTGATATTTTTTATTTCTTTTCATGTGATGGATTTGGGGTTGCTCATCCTTTTCGAGTTCTTTGAGATGATTCATTAGATTGTTGATTTGTGATCTTTCTGTCTTTTGGATATAGGCATTTATGGATATAAATTTTCCTCTCAGGAGTGCTTTAGCTGTGTCTCATAAATTTTGATAACTTGTGCCTCCTTTATCATTTGGTTCAAAGAATATTTTGATTTCCATCTTAATTTCCTCCTTAATGTAATAATTGTTCAGCAGAAGATTGTTTAGTTTCCATGACTTTGTGTAGAGATGAGAGTTTCTGTTGGAGTTGATTTTTGATTTTATTCCACTATGGTCTGAGAAGATGCACGTTATAATTTCTATATTTTTTAAATGTGTTGAGACATTCTTTGTGCCCTAGGATATGGCCAATCTTAGAGAATGTTCCATGAGCTCATGAGAAAAACGTATATCGGTGGGTTTTGGGTAGAATGTTTTGTAAATGTCAGTAAGGCCCATTTGTTCTAGAGTACTGTTTAAGTCCATTGTTTCTTTGTTTATTTTCTGTTTGGAGGACCTGTCCTATTCTGTCAGAGGGGTGTTGAAGTCCCCAGCTATTACGATGTTACTGTTTCTCATTGTGTTTAAATTAAGTAGGATTTACTTTATGAATATTAATCTGGGTGCACCTGAGTTAGGTGCATAAACATTTAGAATTGTTATATCTTCTGGTTGAATTGTAGCCTTCACCATTATGTAGTGACTATCTTTGTCTTTCATTACTTTTGTTGATTTTAAGACTAAGTTATTTGAAATCAGAACTGCTATGCCAGCTTTCCTTTGGCTTCTGTTTGCATGAAATATTGCTTTCCATTCCTTCACCTTGAGTCTGAAGGCATCCTTGTGGGTTAGATGTGTTTCCTGAAGACAGCAGATACTTGGCTTGTGTATATTTATCCATTCAGCAAGCCTATGTCTCTTTAGTGGGCAGTTCAAGCCATTCACATTTATTGAAAGAATTAATACATGGGGCAGATTTTTGTTCATGCTGTTGAGTTGAACTTTGTTGCTTTGTTTTTTTCTCTTCAGCCATTGTGGCATCTGGCCTTTGAACTCTAGCTTCTGGTTGATTTTATATTGGTGAGTGTTTATTGTGATGATCCTTGCGTAATATTGTTCTGAGTACTTCCTGGAGTCCAGGTCTTTCCTTGATGAATTTCCACAGTCTTTGCTTATCTGAGAATGTCTTTATTTCTCCTTCATATAAGAAACTTAGTTCTGCAGGGTACACGATTCTAGGCTGGGCATTATTCTATTTGAGTAGAGTGAGAATAGGGCCCCAGTCTCTTCTGGCTTATAAGGTCTCAGTGAGAAGTCTGCAATTAGTCTGATGGATTTTCCTTTGTAGGTGACTTGCTTCTTTCACCTTACAGATTGTAAAAGGGCCTCTTTCATGGTTATTTTTGCCAGTCTGATGACTATGTGTTGTGGTGTCTTCCTATTTGCAATGAGTCTCCTAAGAGACCTTTGAGCTTCTTGAACCTGGATACCTAGATTTTAGCAAGGCCTTGGAAATTTTTCTCCATTATATCCTCAAATAGTTTATCCAACCATTGTGTATTTTCTTCTTCACCCTCAGGGATGCCTATACTTCTCATGTTAG